CGGCCGTTCCGGACAGGGGCGGCAGTTCCAGGTATTCGGCGGCAATTCGGCGGAGGGTCCGTCACTCCGCCTGGGAGTGAAGGACCTCCCGCCGAATTGCCGCCGCAGATCGCGATCGCGGTCTTTTTTTTTTTTGGTTTTGGCTGCTTGGGGCGGCCAAAACCCTGGAGCCGGCCCTGCCTTCATAGAAATCATTCATAAATAGAAATAGCAGCATTACTCACTCAATATTTCTGTTATATAAACATACTATCCTCTACGGTACTAAAGGTGCGTAGGAATAGAACTTAGAGCTCAGAGAACTTAGATGAGAGGGAAAATAGGCCATTGTCCATCACCTTGCAAATGTAGTACATACAGTAGTCCTCAGATACATGATTTATCAGTTATTAAACTGATACATTTGATCTTAACCCAGCCAAAAACAAATGATTACTGTTCTTGTCTAGTTCATAAATAATATTGTTATGTATCTATTCTGTAGTGCCATAAGAATACAGAGTGAATTATGAATTTATGAATGCATAAAATACATGATCTCTATCCTGAGGAGGAGACAAATATGATACATGGAATAAATAAATCAAACACAAGTTAGTGAAAGGATAGATATGGAGATTAGCATTAGAAAGCTTCATAAAAGAAATGGGTTTTAAGGAAGAACTTGAAGTAAAAAGAAGAGAGCTGCTAGTAGACAAAGAAGTGGGAGAGTGTTCCAAGCATAGAGACCAGCATGAAAGGTGATGTTAAATTGAGAGTGGAAGAAGCACACAAAGAGAGCAGTTATGGAAGCAAGACTGAGAGTAGGAGGAAATAAAAGTATAGGCAAAGCTCTGTAGAGCTGGTTGGGACATTTTTGACAGACTTTTTTTCATCATATTATGTTGTTTTAACAAAGCCAAAATGTTTCACAGAGATGTATTGGTTCTGATAAAGTTTTAGATGGGAAGGTTTCCGAGGTCCAGGGAAGACTCTCAGATCACTTCAAGAAGGAGAGAGAAACAAAAGAAACAAAATCAAAAAGCTTAGGTTTTCAATCCCAAAACAGATTGTTTCAACGCAATGCTGTTTCACAAAAATGTTTGAAAGGTTTTGGTTTTGTTCCAGTGAGGAATGAAACAGAGGGGGAAGAGAGGGTGAATGATGTTGTCAGAATGTCCATTTACCAATGGACTTCTGTATAGATTGGAGTGATGAGAGGCAAGATGCAAGGAGGTAGTTACAGTTGGTGAGGTGAAAGACGACCAAGGCATGGACCTACAGAGGAAAGGACAGATTTTAACTGCTTAACCGTGTAGACAAGCCCTTAAAAGTGACAGGTTTTAGCAAGAGCCAAAATACCAGGGGGTGGAGCGGATTAAAGTTAGGACTCAAAGATCACATTGAGGTTGTATATCTGGGTGATGGGGAGGATAATGAAGCTGTCAATGATGCTAAATGAAAGGAGTCAGAAGGAAGAATCTGGGAGGAAAGATGAGACAAAGTTTCTAAATATCTCAGCTGTGGATTTTCAAAGCTATTTAGGGGCTTTGGATGGTCAATCTTATCCATAGGACCACGTTTTTAAATGAGGGATCTAATTTTCCACCAGTAATTGAATGTAGGCAAGGCACAAATGGTAGAATGGAAATATCTAACTACTGTGCCTGAGAGGTAGATAGTTGAAGATTTAAAGTTTAATCGTTAGTGCCCAACTGTAATTGCACCAATTGAAAATAAGCACAAAAATTATAGGCCAGGTTGGGGCCTTTGAAAATATGCCCCATAGAATTCAACTTTCACTGAAGACAGTGGAAGTTTAATGTGTGAATCATTAATTTTGGGATGCCAGTGTGTCCTTAATTTCTCCCTCTCTGTGTTATTGGTCTAATGACTGAATGCTAATCTGTTCACCATTCAATATCCTTTCTTTGCACTACTATTTTCTGTAGTTTATACCATACTCTCTCCAGTACCTTACATAATTTTGATCTGTAAAATGATTTGTGATACAGTTTGTATGATGCACGCTATACAAACTAAAGTCGGGTTGCTTTATTGTCATAAACTGACAAGGGATGTGCTCCAGATTCTCTGTGCATTTCTATTTTTCACTCCGACCACCTAGTCTATCATTATTTATCAGACTCTTCTTTCATGACCTATTTGCAGAATTGAATGTGACAATAAAAATATTCTGCTGGTTCTTAGCATTAAGAAATAATTTGAAGTGGACAGTGAGTATACTTAGAGCATAGTAGATATCTCTTGTACTTTAGATCTGAGGTAAGGGCATAATTTACTATACCAAGACCTGATTATGCCATCCTTACAGTGAGTAGTACCTTATCCTGCAAGCAGTCATGTTGAGTAACCTTATGTATATATCAATTACAGTGTAACAACAATCCTCTTGGTTAAGAAATATAGAAAAAACAAATAAAAAACAAACAAACAGTGAAGTGGGGCAGAGAGGAATGGTAGACTCATCTTCTTCTTTCTTGGAGTCTCGGAAAAACACACTACTTGCAATGATTTCTATTAATTCTTGTTATTTTTTTTATTTCTGCCATAAAGCTGTTATTTTTGTTCTTCAGTTATTGTTATTATTTGTGTTACCATAGTACCTAAAAAAAACAAATCAGGGATCAGTGCTAGGTGTTGCACAACAATATTCACACTCCCTTTAATAAGTTGGAACTCTCTAATATGTGATTGACTGGCATAAACTGTAAACATGTACAAAACAACCCTCACTGGGGAAAGAATCTGATCCTGTTTTTCCTCTTTCCTTAACATTTTCACACTGTTTTTGGAGTGGGTATTTTGAAGTTTTGTGGTTGGGGGCTGACACACCAAACTATAACCCAATTTTTCCCTATTGGAAAATTAGTCTTCCCATTTAAAGCTATTTTTACAAAAATGGCAGAATCCTCTGGGGAAAAATAATTTCTTCCTTACAAAACACAGGACTTATCAATCAGAGTTTTTATTTTAATAGATCTTAGCATTATAGAAGCACTAAGGATCTGATCTGACTACCATTCTGCTTCTGGAAGTGAGCGTAACATCTGAGTGCTTCAGAAAAAGATGGAAATATTTAAAAAAAATTAGTTTGGTCCAGGGGACATTTTTGGTGTTTTTTCCCCAAAAGAATTGTGAAAAGCCGTGTTCACTAGATTACAAATTACAAAATGTCACCATGGATCAGATAAGTATACTAAAAGCACTTTATCTGTTTTCACCTCTACACACTTATTAGGGAGTTAATATTTGTCATGTCACACAGCCCTGGGTTAATAAATCACACACAAAAATTACTCCATTTAAAAATCAGGAACCCTTTTACCCTTTGCCTTTTAAAGAATGGAAGAGTCACATAAAGCCCTCATTCTCCATATGAGCATCATACTGCAATCTGTATCCAGATGACTTACCCTGGTTAGGAAGCTCCCATTCATGTATAGAAAAGGTGGCTTATAGTTGTAAGAAATAACTCAAAAGTGGTTGCCGCCAATGCTGCTATTGTATCCAAAAAGATGAAACAGCACAATAAACAAAAAATGTCTCTTGAAGCTTAAAACCATCCTAAAAATGCGAGGCACCCTTCCTGTGTCATCTGGTTTGTTTGGGTGCAGTTTCCATGTATAAGTATAGTACTTAAAACTGCAACACCACAGGGTTACGCCTGAAATTGGGTAGGAGACAGACAAACTTGCTAGACAACAATTTCTTTGCTGTACAGCTGACAAAATGGGAAGATAAAACACTGCCAATAATTATATATTAAAAAGAGTTGCTAATTAATCTGAGTCATTTAATGATGATGTAATGACACTGTACAATATGTAAAAGGATACACATCTGAAACCCATAGCTTTTTTAGTTTCCATATTCTGCATTATGGAGAATTTGGTTAAAACATATCCACTGATATTGTAAATCATGTTTCTTTACGTCATGCCTCATTTGTTGTATATTATGTAACTATGTTACCTATTCAAAAAGCACAAAACAAAAGTGAAAAGATAAATTGAGAGCATTGCAAATTGAGAGGCTAAGGAAGCAAAAACATATATTGTTAAATATTACTTTCAGAACACATGGAGGGTTTAGAGTCACATTCATTTCCAAATTGTAATGTTAGTGAGGATACTGTAGATATGTTTAAAGCATTCCCTGTCTTTAAAGGGATTCAGTTAAGGTGCATCTTTAGGTTTCATGAGGATATGAATTAGCATGCTTTGTATCAACAATGCTGATTTCATTTTTATTGTGTAATGCCAATTGCAAGGAATGGAATTTTGCAACCATGCTTGTTTTTCGCAATTATGTCATAATTAACATAATGGACTTCTTTCCTTCTGGCACCTATAACAGTGTGACCCCAAGTTTTCCCTCTCCTTCTCTTTGTTTTACCTTTATCAGGGAACAGTATTTGTAAAAGTTTGTGTGTATATGTAGCCATGCCTGGGAGATATACTTAAGACTGCCATCAATTAACTTCACTGAAGTAACAACTCCATTGGAGCTTGGGAGTTGTGTACTTAACCAGGTGAGTCTAATGGACAAATGGCTCATGTTATAAAAGGGAGATGGAAGGCATCAGAAGTTTGAAAAGCAAACAAAAAGCAAATATGGAGAGGATTTGGAAATGGAAGCTTATAAATAGCTTAAGAAGGTAACTCCTGGGTTTAGTAATTTGCGGTCTGAAGAAAGACTTCACATCGCTCCACTGGCTTCCCCTTCTCTAATACATCAAACAGAAGTATCCTGTCAGAAGACAGGTATTGAGCTAGATGGACCTTTGGTCTGATCCAGTATGGCCATTCTTATAAGATACTTGTCTTCACTTTCACGATCCTTTATCATGGCCTATCCCCGCTCTCTCTCTCATTCCCTATCAAAATGGCAACTCCTACCTTAGGTGGGGCCATGGTACCAGCCTCTATCACACACTTGTTACATTTTCAAACAAGCACCTTTGTACTTTCTCCCATGCTGCCCCTCATGCTTGTTTCATTGTTTCCTTGTACTTTGCCATCTGTCTGCCTGTACCCATCTGTTGTCTTTTTACCACTTATCAGTGATAATGCCATGAAGGACAGAACTGCATGAATAATTATTCATGCATCCCTTATGAAAAATTGCTTTCAGATTGCAACTTTAAAAGTAGATATTCTGCAGTTTAGAGGTTGATACCATAGATCCTGTTTGGACATGTAACTTTTATTTTGTTTCTCTGGCAAGTGGTCTATGGGCAAAGTAAAAGGGCTACATGTGGGGACTAGAATAAACAGAGCAAAAGAAGCCCTCTGTGGGAGGTTCTGAAAGTTTGATCTAATATGGCAAGAAACCAAACAATCAGTGTTGTATTGTCAGTTCTGCTTTTCCATGACATGATCCTAGTCAAACTCATGCAACACAAAGGGAATTGGTCAAACTTTATATTTAACTCTCTGCTTTTCCATTCCCCAAGAGAGACTCATTAAAAGGAAAGCCATTGTCTAAAAGATATAATATTAATAAAGTAACAAATAGGATAACTCTCAATTACTTGTCAGCATTCCATTCCCAAGAGTGCCTTCTGTAAGAGAAACTGATTAATTTAACCTTTGAATTCATTATTTTTACACAACCTTACTTTCCATATAATATTGGCAAATTCCTTTTAGTTCAATATTTAATTGATTTTCAAGAGCCTTTTGTCATTTTTCACTCAGTATGCAGGCATTAACCTTATTCATGTGGAAATCAAATCAGTTCAGGACATTGTGTGTGTTATCTACAAATAATAAAGAAAAAACATCTAATGGTTTTAAAGGATTTTTTAAATGAGTTTGTAATCTTATTAGTATTATATATATATTGCAGTAGCACCCAAAGGCCCCGATTGTGCTACTACAATATACACAGTTGGTTTATACAGTAAACTAACAGGAAGATCATTTCCCCTGAGATTTTACAACTAAACTGAACAAGACACAACAAGCGAGTGTTAGCGATAGAATGGAGGAAAGAGTATAAAGGTGACAGCAATGAGATCACAGTGCTACTTAGGCTTGCTATGTGCACAGCTGGATAGGTCCATTGTTTATAATAGGCTTTTAGAAGGTATTAAAGTTGTGTTAATTCCACCCACCGTGCTTCTATTGTTAAACTAAGGCAAGATTTTGACTGTCCCTAATTTTATCAGTTTGTTTTCTAGTACCAAGTTCTCGATTCTTGGACTCAGATTTTCTCAGTAACACATCCCACTCTAGCACTGAGGGGATTCATGTAATTGATTTCTCTTTAGTCAACTGTGGTATAAGCAGCCAGCTGTCTCCCACAACAGAAGAAACTTTTCTTTTGTGCCATCACTAGTAGTGGCAAAACATATGTCACCCCATTCTATACCGTCAAACTTATCTTGCTCCATAACACTTTCCTTCATACGGCATCTTACATCCACATTTTAAGAAAAAATCTAATGAAAAAGGTATCATATAAATGAACATGGTTAAACATCTCATTTTCCCTTAAAACAATATAATGAATGACTACTCAATCCAGTACAAATATATCTGGCTTGAAACAGAGTAGAGGATTTTTGCTGTGTGTAGTTTGGTCTCCTATTTTTCATGACAATACTCCATGCATGCAATGTGTACATTCCTTTAGAGTCCTGCTGAGATGGATTCATCTTTTCTCTGGCAAATAATATTTTTTATTTATCAAAAGACTTGGTAGTCAGTTTCTCACATCAATAATATAAACACCCTATAATAAAAGAAAAGTTCATTTCACACATTTATGTAGTACTTGACTCATTTTCATCAATTTCTGCCCTGTTTGCCCCCTTTTGAAAGTCACACTAGTTATTTTGTTCTTTTTACTTGGAAGGGTGGAAAGTAACAAGGGACTTTGAGGAATACTAAAAATTTGGACTGAACTTGTTTTGGGGTGCTTCGGACTTTTTGGCATATACATTGCATGAAATCCCCAAGGAACCAGCACTTAATACATTCTCAGATGCAATAACTGCAACCAGAAGAATGAAAATAATGTAGACTTGTTTATTTAACTATGTAACTTTAGTAACATTCTCCCTATTATAAAAGTCCTTTAAGTCCCACACTATTAATTTTATTCTCATAGGATCAGCTCTTGATACTACCACACACACATGAAGAGCTTTTCATCCCTGACCAACTGAATAATACTGGCACATACTGAGGTGTCTCTTTATGAATATGAGCTGTGAGAACAAGAAGTTCCATTCTGAAAAATGTTTTAAGGGTAGCAAGGTGCTCCTGTAAGGCCCTGTTTCTCCACTGTGCATGGGTAGAGAAAATAGCATTTTACTTTGCACAGCTAAGTTGTAAGGCAGCAGACCTCAGACTCTGTGTGTATGAATTTTGTAGAGTAGGAAATAGACTCTAGGGAAATCTCAAAGTAGGATAATATCTGCCATTTTATGCAATCTGGTAGATTGAAAAGACAAACCAGCGCTCTCTAGTAATATCATCAGCACAGCCTTATAGCGTCTGTGCCTTTAGGTTTTGTCCCTCAAGAATTTTTGCCATGAACACAAAATGGGAGAAAACACAAAGCCCTATTCCCTAAGGGGTGGAGAATGTTCTGTGAGGCCTCTAGCACTTATTGGCTCTCTATGCTTCCCTCAGTTATACCTTTTGTGATTGAGTTGGAGTGAAAGCAGTAACAATGACCAAGTTATTTTTAAAACAAAAGTATAAGAACTGAATGTGAACATAGTGCATTTGTTTAGTGTTGTGGTGGTATGTATGGTCTGTGTGTACAGACTAGCTGATCACTATGGTCCCTTCAGGCCTTGGAATCTATGACTCTAAGGAATAAACTTGGAACACAGCATTATTGGACAGGCATATGGCTGACACAAACTAGCTGTGGCTATGCACCCTAATTAGCTGCTACATTCTACAACCAATCTTCCTATGGCCTAAGACAAATAGCTTCACAAAGCCAAAGCTCTAAAAAGAAGAGAAAGGAAAAAACTTAGTCCTATAGCTCAGGTAGCATTCATTCCCTATATCAGTTAGGTTGCTAAAAAAAAGTGCACCACCCTCTCTTCTTATGCTGATTTCTCTTCCTGATGGTGCAATTATCTCCACCTGTGCCCAGAGCCATCCCCCCATCACTGAACTTCACTGCAATCCCTGCAATGAGGGTAGGCACCTGTTGCCAATCCCATGCTCAGACACAGATGGCCAAATCCTGTATCAATAGAAATCAGTGGTAAAAATCCCATTGACATTTGTGGCACCAGAATTTGACTTCAAGTTGTTTTTAACCCTCGCTCCACCAAGCACTGGCTGGGAACTGAATAAACTGAGAATAATAATAATAAATAAATAAAAAATGATGGCAGCAGTTAAACTGTTAATCCTGTTTTTCTTTTTTTCCTAGTTCTTTGTTCTTATTAACTCCCCCCTGCATACATACACCATTCCCTCTGTCCTCACATCATAAAAAGAACAACATGGAATTAACAAGACTTGTACCAATCATCACCCTGACAAATCTGCTGCTTGCAAGGTGCTTCCCTTTCTCCTTTGTCTGTTTTTTGTCTTTTTAGATTGTATGCTAGTTAGGGCTGAACCTGTGTCTTCCTATATGTCTGTCCAGCACTTAACACATTTTGAGCATTATTGAGTAAATAAATAAAGTGTCCTTCCTTAGCCTGATCTGTGGGAGAAATGTCATACCATTCTGCAGACATCAAGGGCCAATCTTTAAAAGTGTGCCTGTTGAATCACATGCAAATTTTTATGTGAACCCAGCTTTTGCAGATGGAAACTGCAATTTATGGTGAAACCCATATGCATGTGTAAATCAGGGTCTGTGCATATGCAATTAAATCTGAATGCATGCGTTCGAAAATTTGGCCTCAAGCTTTTTGGGTGCTTCTATTTCAGGGACAAATAAAAACAAATTACTTAGGCAAGTACCTCCCATTGTTTTCCTTAGATTTTTAAAACATATTTAACCACTCCCCAAAACTGTTCATCAGATGTGGTTATGAGAGGCAATTTAATCAGACTTTCAAAGCATCAGCTAGATTTGGATAGCCCAAATCTGACATGCAATGCACCAGATCACAGCTTGGGCTGGGGGAGGTCCTGAGCTGTTACAACATGACTCTGTACTCCTGGTAAACCTTCACTGTGGTGTTCATTTTTTTGTACGCTTGGCAAAAGTCAAGAATTGAGCAATATTCAGGTGCTCTGGGGATTGTGCCACACACAAGCAGGATGTGCCCCGCCTTGCTGTCTGCTGCTTTTTCTCCAGAGTGAGTCTGCTATCATTTGACTCAAGCAGCCTTTTGATGATGATTACCAAAACTAGGGGTGGGTATTTCAGAAATGACAATAATCTCAGTTTCAATTGATAATGCAATTGCTTTGGAGATAATAAAATGCCTGTCTTTGTGGCAGCCCTCCACATACACACCTTCCCTCTAAATCTTTAGAATGGTCCTTCTACTATGAAAAGTTGGTTAGAGCTGTAAAAACTTTTTGGTTGAAATCTGAAGCCAAAAAAACTTACCTGGTTTCATGTTTCAAGCTGAAAGTTAAAATCTGCACAGAATTCATCATACCTGGTATACTCATTTCTCATAACAACTGCACCCCATAAAGGCCCTTTGTGGAAATAACTGCAACAAAGTTTTTCTTTATGTTTTTGAGCTCACATAAGCGTGGTGGATACTCCATCACTGACAATTTAAAAATCAAGATTGGATTTTTGTCTAAAAGATTGGACCTAGGAATTATTTTGAGGAAGTTCTGTG